TCGGGGGCCACATCCTCCACTGTCTCTCCCTCCCACCGAAGGTTTTGTTTTCTCTCAGCAGAGACAAATCACTCCTTTTAAAAGGTAAATCCAGCCATGTCTTTCCCCTGCTCCAAAACTAAAAACTGGAATAAAACCCAGGGTCCTTACAATCATCTATGATGATGCACGTGGCTTGGCCTTTGGCTTACTTTCTGCTCTCACCTGTTTCCCGCTCTCTCCCAACTTCGGTCCCACTACAGTGGCCTTCACAATGTCCTAGAGCTGCTCAGGGCCTCGGCCTTTCTGTTCCTTCAGACGGCAGGGTCTGCCCCTACAACCATGGTTTGGTGCCACTCTTTATCCGCAGTTTTCTTCAAGTGTCACCTCATCAAGGACGGCTTCCCCTCCTAAAATAGTTCCCATCCAGCACCCAACACCTCTCATTCTGTCTCCTTATGCATCTCTGTTTTTCTTTGGAATGCTTATCAATTTCTGGTGTGCAGATGTGTACTCACTCTCTCTTTCTCTATACACACACACGTATGTGTGCATGTCTGTGTGTGTGTGTGTGTGTGTATAATTTCTGCTAAAGTGGGGCAGTTTAGTAAGCCAGGACAAGTGGGATAGGAAAACGGACAGTTAAATGGCCAACCAGTTTACATTTATCTAACAAATCAGAGAATTCTATCTTCCTTAGCCAATGACATTTAAGAGTAAATGAGTAAATGGTTTACACTTCTCCTCAACCAGAATAAATAGCTTAAATCAGCCTACTTCAGGAGATCAAGAGCAGAAATCCGACTAGTGCCATTTGTGCCAACCACATCCAAAGATGTCTAAAGTTAAGGGAATAAATTTCATTTTAGTGCATTAACATAAAGCTGATGAATATTCTATTGAGATGTTCCCCTAAGACCTCCTCTAAACTCCTGGCCTTTAAAACATTCATAAAGGAGGACCGGGGCGGCACTCTCCCTCCCAGAAGCACCCTCCGGCCTTCCCTTCTTTCCGAAGCGCCCTCTCTCTGGAGCTCGCCTGTCCCTTTTCCTTCCCTTCCTCTCCTTCCCTGCAGGAGAGCTACCTTTGCCTCTCTCTCATGAGCTCCAAGGGCCCTCCTTTTGCCTCTGTAACTTGTTTCCTGAGCCTGCACAACCCAGCTGACTCACCTCTACTACCTTTGTGACTTTCCAAATAAACTTTCTCTTATAATTTGAGTTCCTGTCTCTGAATTCTTTTTTTGCCAAACTGAAGAACGAAGGTCCAACTTCACCAGTAACAACTGGTGCCATTTCACTGCCTATATCACCGGTAACAAAATAGGGAGTTTTTTTGTGCTGTGTTCACTTTTGTGTCATAAATTCCCTCAAGATTCTCATTAGACAGACAGAAGAATGGACTTTATTTTAACCTTGGCTCTGCTGCCAACCTGGAATCCAGTCCTTATTGATTATGTCAGCATCTTCCTACCAAACCCTGCAATCATCAGAGCCTCATTTCTGAGACATTGGTAGTCAAGGTTCTCTAAGATAATTAAAACAATAATTAATTTAGAGGAAAAGAGCAGAAGTTACGATCAGTGTAAGGCAATCTCTGGCTAAGCAGTGGAGTATCTGAGAGACTTTCCTTCCCAGTTACAAGCACAGGCACGTTTAGCTAGTGTTTACTTAATTTATAAGCTCACAAGACACTTCTCTTCAGGGATATCTTGTTTAAAAGGATTATGGTAAATCAAGAGTATGAAATACTAAATCCATTTATCAACACTGGTTTCTACAGTTTCAAATAGGATTTGCTGATGCTAAGCTCTAAGAGAGGGGTGGCCTCCGTTACAGTTTTCAGAGAGCCTGAAATCACACCCAAAGAGGTGCATGGTTCCTGATTCCATGGGTGTCCTTTCCAAGTATCCTGCTTCATTTTAATAATAATAGCTAGGCCTAAGACCTGAAGGACAATGGGGTCCTGCAATCTTGGAATATTCATAGATCTGATAAGATAGCAATGAACTCACCTTTGCAAAGTAATAGAAGGAAAGAAAAAGTAGAGAGAACCAACATTTATTAAATACATACTCAGTAGATGAGCTAGAGAAAAAATTTGAGAACCCTAAAATTATAGAAAGAAATAAAGCCAAGAGTGTAGATGGAATCACCTTGGAAAAGAGGGCAAAGAGAGAAGAGGGGCAGGAACCTAGCTGTGATGAACTCTGATGTTATGGTGAGAGACCATGAACTTGAAAAGCGGATTAAGGAGTCAGAGATACAGAAGAAAAACTGGGAGAGGCTGACATTTCAGCAAGAAAGTCAAGAAAAGAGAGGGTTGTAAAGGAGAGCAAGAAGTGATTACTGGTGCCACATACTGCTAAGAGCTCTAAGGGACTGGATGACATCCCAGAAGCTTAGCAGAGGTCACTGAGGACCTTAACAATAAATGTTTCATGGATCGATGGTGACAGAATTCAAATTGCAGTGGGCAAGGGGGAGTATAAAGTCAGGAAATAGTGACAGAGAGTATAGGCAATGCTTTGGTGAAACTTAGCTCCAAAGAAGAGAACTACAAGGAGGTAGTTGGAAAGGAGTAGGAAATCAATTAGCGAGTGGAAAAGAGCTGAGGTTTAAATCCAGTTCTGACTCCAAAACTGAATTCTACCAATGGCTGTCATGGTGCTGTTTCTCTGAGTTTACATGCTCATCCATAAATCCTTCTTTCCTATTTTCAGTAAAAACTAGTCACATGAGGTTCATCTATAGAAAAATGTTCTGAGAATTTTTAATATTTCTTTGCAATGTATAACTATCCCTTAGGTTTTGTTGAGCTTTAAGATCTTCAGAGACTGGCATTTCCAGGATTTACTTTCAGCCATATAACATGTGTGAAATGAATTAAGCAGGGCAGTATTATTGTGATTTTATGGGTGAAGAAACTGAGTCACCAAGACATTTATGGCAGAACTGATATAAGAATTGCAGATCTCTAATTTCTAGTCCAGTGTTCTTGTTACTCCACCACCATTTCCGTCTGCTGCTTAACCCTAGGACAACCATGGGCAACATTTCCTCCTCTTTCATAATCATTAGTAATAGTAGCAGAAGTAGTAGTCATTGTTGTTGTCATAGTACAGTTTACAAAGTTTTGCCAAATACATTGTCTCACTAAACTGAAAGTAAATTCTCAGTTACCCAAGGTTGGTTCTCTCATAACTACTCTTCCATGTTCTGAGATGGACACTGAGTTTCACACTATAATGCATGATGGAGCTTGGGCATGAATCTAGATCTCTGTGCTTCAAATCCAGTCTCTTGTCTTTGCATTAGCAGTTTATAAATGCTGCGGCCCTTCAAGAATCTGATGAGAGTTATGGCCCCTCTTCACAGAAATATATGCATGAATACATCACCAAGATCTGGTGCTAGGCATTCATACTGCTACTAGCGCATCTTTGCTTCTGGGCAGCTCAGTACAGAGAGCTAGGATATAAAGTATGTATGCGCACACATGAATGTACACATCTGTGTTTGTTTTATTTGTATCCAGAAATATATACATAAATAAATACAAATATATTTCTGGATATAAGTATTATATATATAATCACAAATGGATTACATATTAAATCTAGACATATATATTTCTGGATATAAATATTATATATGTGTGCGTGTGTGTGTGTGATTAGAATCAAAAGTTGATTCTAATACCTCTGATTTCCACCTAGTACCATTAGTGTTCATTCTAACCTTCCCCTTTTCTTGTGAGAAACATGTTGCTCATTACCCACAATTTATTTATTTATTTACTCAATGCAGTATACACATAAAGGATTTTCAGAATACCTAAAATGTACATCTACGAAAAACAAATTTGGTATTTGTAGTATAATATTTATGTACAGTTATTTTATATGTAACTATATAGCCTACTGTCAAAATATCCTTTACCAAAGTTACTTGAGTTCTTTTCTTTCCCCAAACCCCTTTAGTGTGACTATAGTATTCATTGCTAATACAAGAGGCTCATTATTTTACTGTTTATGTTTCATTTTACCCATGTCCACCATGCACATATATATACTAGTATCTATCTATCTGTCAATCAGTCATCTATCTCTATTTCCCATCTATTTATTTTCCAGGGCACATGAAGCATTACTGTAGTTCTAATAGTTACAGTTGAATAAAAAGTTGTACTCAGCCCTGGCTGGTGTAGTTCAGTGGATTGAGCTCGGGCTGTGAACCAGGCATCGCAGGTTCGATTCCCAGTCAGGGCACATGCCTGGGTTGCAGGCCATGGCCCCTAGCAACTGCACATTGATGTTTCTCTCTCTCTCTCTCTCTCTCTCTCTCTCTCTCTGTCTCTTCCTTCCCTCCCTAAAAATAAATAAATAAAATCTTAAAAAAAAGTTGTACTCAGAAAAGTGTTGTTTCCTCCTGCTCTCCTTCTCCTGCTCCCCTGTTCTTGGCGTTCCATTTCCACCCACGCAGTGTAGGTAACCACTCTTAGTTTCTGGTTTAACTTTCCTGTATTTCTTTTGCACAAGTGAGTAAATACACATATGTTTTCTTATACTACCTTCTTTTTACATGAAAGGGAGCACACTGCCAATACTCCTTTGCACTCCACTTTCTTCACTTAATGATATATCCTGGAAATCACTCCATATCAGCTAGTATTCTAGGCTTCACAGATGAAGAGACAGTTGTAAAGAGGTCGAATAACTTGCTCAAGGTTACATACTTAGTAAGGAGCAAAGCTGGATTTGACTCCAATATCCATGTTCCTTCTGCTACATCAGAGTTTCTCATCCACAGTTCCTGGAATATTGGGGGTGGGGGATCTCTAGGGTTTTTTAATAGTCTTAGATCATTTTAAAAATTAGAACTTGTATGATCTAGATCATCTGGCCTTAGAACCAAATACTACCAGCCATTCTCATTCCCCATAGGATCAAAAATCACACATCAGCCTAAAGTAAGCGCCCTCCACACAGTCAGACATGGGAAGTGGGAACAGGAAGCAGTTACCGAGCTGTGGCCTTGGCTTGCAGTTCAGGGAAGGTGGCGTGGCCCTGCACCACGTGGTCTATCTGAAAAACAAAAGGGGTGGGTTAGTGGTATAGTCCTCCCAGTCTATATCTCAGCCAGAAAAGATACATTTAAATGTCTGCACCTTTCAACTCTTTGTCCAGAGAGGATCTAAAAATGTTAAAACGCTAACTCAGTGAGAGTGTTCCAGCTCTTACAGAAAGCTAGCTTTGCTTAACCTACTCTTGGCCTCTTGGATTTACAGAACAAAGAAGTTTAAAGAGAAGAGTAGCAGGAAATGAAACTCTCAAGGCTAAACTGGTAGCAGCAGGTAATGCCAAGTCCAAGAATGAGGTGTGAGGACAGATGGGGTGAGAAGAGAGAAGAGGTGACTCCAGGTAAATGGCGGAGACCGGGGTGTTAAAGAACTAACCTCTGGCTCACACCATTTCCGCCTCCCGATCCAGGCTGTTACCCTAGGACAACGTCAGACCTGGAATTGCTTACTGCCTCTTACTAGTGGGGAAGTTGAGTGAAAGAGACTATGAAGAGGAAGTCTCAGTTTAAACAGGGTGGGTGGTGGGGAGAGTTGTCCCAGAATTGTCAAGAGAACCACTCCTGATTGAAAAGTTCTATCACATGGGAAACCAGGACATAGCTCTCCAAGGAGGGGCAAAAGTGTCTGAGCTCTGTGGACAGCTATCTTCTTCTTACTTGAAATCCCATGTCCTGAATTTTATTCCTTAATCCTCTTGGCGGCTTTAAATGCAATAATATGTAACATGCATCAGGAAGAGAAATGCTTTCCCATGCTGCTACTCTGCTTGCCAGGACACACCCAGCACTGTGTTGCGTTCCTGAACTTAATCTGTGTGTTTTTTCAGTGTTTACATGAGTCTCTAGGACTCCAAAACAACTATTCTGACAGATTTATTTTCATTCAAACTATGAACCAACTGCCTATTTTGGCCTCTTGGAGACAGTCTTTCTGAGCATGTTTCTTGAGAGCTAGGGCCATGTAAGGAGGAAGAGAATCTGTTCTGGAGCCACGCTGGCTGGGTTTGAGGTCTGCCTCTGATACAAACTAGCTGTGTGACTTTGTGTAAGTCATTTAGCTTCTCTGGGCCTCAGTTACCTCCTTTCCGCTTCCCCAGGCTCCTTTAAAAACAGAATTGCTGGAATTTAGAAAGTGTCCACCATAATGCCAACAACAGTAATATATACTACTACCTAAAATTTATTGACTCTTTTGCCATGCATTAATACCAAGCTAAACATTTTTACATACATTATCTCATTTATTCTTACAATACCTCTATGGAAAAGACACTACTGTTTACTACAGAGATGAGAAAACTGGGAGTAAAAGACAAAGTCACAGGGTCACAGGTGAATAAGTGACAGATCTTTTTGCTTTTAACCAAGGTCTCTCTGTATCTAAAGTCCTTGTTCTTAACTACTATGTCACATTGTCTATTAAACTTCCAGGTATAATATAATTTGTGGACTTCTATTTGTACACTTCTGCAGAATGTTTCAAAATTAAATGATGGCAATTGTTCATTACAATGGGGGAAAATGCAGATTTTGAATGCTTATTCAAAGCTGCATCAGCTGTGGGTTACCGTGACGAGGCATATTCTAGACCTTAAAGAGGAAGACATCAGGAAGACATTACTTGATTTGAAGATAATTTCAATGAGAAGTACTCAAAGAGGTCAGAGAAGGGAGATTTAAATGAGCTCCCAGGAGGAAGCACGGAACTTAGCTGTGTGGTGCATACATAAACACAGTTAGTTCATTTAATACTTGCTGAATGCCTAATGCATCAGGCACTGTGCCTAGCCTCCTATTGCATGTGTATGTAAATGCAACACATACAATCTATAGTAGCATAAAGTAAAAGGTCAATAATTTGGCAATTCTACTACAGTTGGGGGAGGTGCAGCTGCAGCTGGGAGAACAAGAACAGGCAGTTTGGAGGAGAAAAGCGTTGGAGGCGAGGCATGCCAGAAAGGAGATGGTGGTGAGTGAAAACATGAAGATGGGGACACACATGGTGACAGACAATAAGGACACAAGTCAAGCCCTGTGTCTGGAATATTATAGATGTTCAATAAACTTTCATTGACCAAATGTGGGAGGTGCGAACCATCAGGAGGCACACCACAGGCTCGCACAGCCCCATGTACTTTTGGTAACAGTTAATTACCACACATTACATTTGTGTCTATTTGTGCAAGGCATAATTCGGTCATAGCTTGTTAAATTGGAGAATAAATAAAGTGTTGGAAATAGTGAATGAATGAGGACAGACAGTAGGTCTTAAAAGTCAGGGAAGTGTTGAACTGTTTATAGTTTTATTGAATTAGAGGCCTTAGGAAATTATTTTGATTTGGAGAGCAAAATGTTAAGAAGTTAAGGAAAATAAGTCTGGTAGGGTACACAGGACAGGGAGGTGAACAGGTAGAGACAGCAGGAAATGGAGACATGCCCAGAGGCTAATGCTGGGAACACAAGGCACAAATACTCCCTGTCCTTCTTCTGTTGTGGCATTTGTGAAGTTCTTTTACAATCGTTAGTTGATACGTCAGTCTTTTACCCTACACTCAGAGATTTTAAATCAAGAGCCTCATTATTTCCCAGGCCCCTAGTACCTATATTAGTGCCTGACCTTTTGAACAAATCAATGGGATACATTTGAAGAAAGTAAACAAATTCAGTGATTAACCAGTTACAGAACAGAAGAAAATCTGAGTCAAGGATGACTTTAAACTTTTGGGTCTCAGAAAAGGAAATGTGGTCATAGTAATCATGTCTTTTTATTTTTTCTAGTTCTGATGCTCTGATCTGGGGTATTATTAACCCTGGAGTGACTGCCTCTTCCAAGGGTAGTCAATTTCTAGAGAAGTAAAGGACTCAATTCACCTGTGAGTATTTCTTTTCTGTACACTAACTAATCCAGAGTCCACCTCCCCATCACCTCCAATATGGACCACTATTTCCTGCTCTGACCAGCCCAGGGCCAGGTACAAGAGACAACTCTGGTGCTTCCATGTGGTGCAGCATATGAGGCCTGCTCTCTGCTCTTGAGGAATGTAACAAACTATCCTCTCAGTGGCAACATCTCCTGATAGGCTGACCTCACCATACCCCAATAATAAGGAAATCTACATTTCAAAACAGTGGTTTAGTGCAAAGAACACACACTTTGGAAACAGACAGGCTTAGGTTCATATTCATGGTCTATATTTATACTCTGTGCTATGGAGGAAAAGTTACTTGACCTCTCAGAGCCTCATCTCCTGTAACTATACAATAGGGATAATAAAATCTGCTTTTCAGGAAAGGTTGTGATGAGTGTCTCGTATCTTTCAGTTTATAACATTTACTGTTCAAAAGAAGGAGGGTACCACCAAAAGAGTAAAAACAGTTAGGAGATCAGTATCTCAAATGGTCAGCTGCATATTTTTGTTTTTCATTACATCTGGTGGTGAAGGCCCACCCTGACTAGCAAAGAACAAGCCAGTTTGTCAAATAACTGAACACTTGTTTCAAAAGCCTGGAGTTCTTATGTTTGATTCTCTAATGCATTTAGCACAGTATAGAAGAACATAGTATCCCATTAGTGGTTACTTGTTTTCCAATTAAATAACCAGTTTAACCACAATGACTGTATTTGCCAAGTGGTTGCCTTAGAAATATATAGACAGGGCTAGTCTAACTGTGATTATTTTCCTGCTGCCTCCATCTCCTCAGATTCAGCCCTGAGAGCAGGCCATTGTAGGAGTGGGCAGAAGTGTCTATGCATTATGGGTAGGTAGGAAGCTTGAGCTGGAAGGAGTCAGATCTTCAGGACAGCTTTCAGGTCTAGGTCAAGAGAGAAAGGCCACCTTACAGTATATAGCTGGGGTTGGATTTTTGGCCCTTCCTCGTAAATCTGGCATCTGCCTTTGGAACATGGGAGAAACAAATGCAATACAGTATAACACACTGATCAAACATGGGCAGTATGAGGTGGCATCTGGCCCACAGATGTATTTTATTTGGGAAATATAATGTTTTGAAAAAATGAGCCAGTATTTTAAAATTTGGAGATTTCACTTAAAATCCAGATTTTGGTTTCTTTTGAAGCTACCAGGCCACCCATACTCCCCTCCAGCAAGAGTCAGCTGGAGCTGAGTGGTGAGTGATCCCTGCAGACAGGCCTGCACCCTTCAGTGCACAGGAGGCACCACTGTTCCCTACCGCTTCCTAACAACAGGCACCAAATTTCATCAATTTCTTGTCATGACTGCAGTAATGTTTTACTTGTAGTAGAGATCTATTTATGCCCATCTCTCTGTCCAAAAAGGGATCATGGAATTTGAGCCCAAGAGTATTATGAGTTTAAAAAAAAAACCTCTGTGGAAGTAAAAAAAAATTAACTTGCCTAGTCTGTTTATTCATTTGTGCTGTTTGACTGCTTTAGGTAGTTGAGGTTTGACTCTTGTAGAGAAAGCACATACAAGAAATCCTCGGACCCGAGTTCAGTTCTGACTCAGGGCATGATTGTGGACAAGAACGTGTCTAATTTTCTCTTACACATTTAATAAATCATTATGACAAACAACTGTTTGCAAAATTGCACAGAGAACTACATTGCCTGAGATACTGAAATTGTGGGCGAGGAAAACACATAACAAAGGCAAACTTTGAGTTTAAGGATCTTAGGTTCTATGAACATTTTGCTAAGACAAAGCGATCTTACTGCATGATGGGTTTTCCTGCATGAAAATCAGTTTTATGCGTTAGTCTTGAGGCTGCACTTTATCTTGCTCGCAGGTAAAGAAGCCATTAGGCTCAGAGGGATGTTCACCGCTGGTCATAGCTGCCATTTTTCTCCATTTGCGTCTACCTGTAATGTCACTTCTTTCACCTACGCTATTCCAACTCTTCGCTTAACAAGTCTTTTTATCTCAAAGTGAAAACATTTTGCCTTTTTCCCAGCCTTAAAATTCTCATGAAAACCTAAGATAAGAAGAAGGGCCAACCCAGACAATGTCTTTTATGCTGCTGGAAA